TTTTTTTATCACAACTTATCTAATATATACAAATATATATTTTATATTATATTTTATCGAATTTTAGTTCAATGAACCAAACATCTTCCAATAAAAAATATATTCACTAAATAATCTTGTTACTATTCAATTCCCATATTGTAATCTGTGATATCTTGTTCCTCATCAAACGACCCTTATTCTCTAAGGTGCTTTTTCATATCTCAAACTTTCGGATGACACTCTCACTAGTTTCGTCAATTCGCACAACATTATCGGCGAATAACATATAAATTATCAATTGATAGATTAAAATAATTATTATAAAAAAATAAAAAATTAAGCGTGGTATCGTTTAATAAACAACAAATATGATAGTGATACGAAGCCAAATTCGAAGGAAGGTCTTTGAAATTAGGGAATCTTATGTAAATGTCCCAAATAAGTTTCAACTTACCAACCTCGAGCTATCAATCATAGACTTACCAAAACTAGTCAAGCACATGTAAAATTGAAAACCCAAATACGTAAGGTTTTTTCTCTCCAAGAATCACATGCAAAGATCTCGTTCCATATTTTAAGTGTGATTAGCAACATTAGATGCAAGGTGGAAAGAAAATTTCATGGATGAGGTAGCAAACAAGGTGATGAAATACAAAAATATATATACACAAGATTCAAAAATCTAAGCAAAAAATGAATTTTTTCAATTGGTATGGTTGAAATCCATTGAAAACATATAGATGAGTCAATATATAAATTTTGAGGAAGATCGGAGGTGATTTGGACTATTTGATATTAGAATTCGTAGTTAAAATCGAGTTCAAAAAATTCTTCTGCGACACATGTATCATGCATGTATTACATACATAGGTATACATGAATATGCATGTGATACATATTTGATACAAATATGATACATATGTGACACACAAATGATACACATTACGATACACATATATATATTTTTCATATTTCACCTTCTACTTCGATTTTTCAATTTAAACCATCTCAAAACTCCGCCAAATCATCCTAAAACTGAGATTCAAACTCTTTAAGATGTGCCCAATTTATTCTAATAACACCCACTAAAATGAAAGAAAAAAATTGACTTTTTTTTTGGCAATAAATAGCTAATTGGCTAATATTAGTAATATTTGGCTAATATTAGTAATATTTAATGAATTAGCTAATTTTTATAATACGCGAAATTTCCTTGTGACCACTTAAACTTGTTCCGGATTTTAAAGCCGATATACAAACTTACATTATTCCCATTTGAACACTCCACCGTTGACCATGCACATGCGGCAGTGACAGAGATGATGTGGACAAAGTGTGTGGAAGTCACCAAAATTACGGGCGTGACTACAATAATTTTGATTTAAAAAAATCTAGAACAAAAAAAAATACAAATTAAAAAGAAAGAAAATAAATCAGGCCCACTTCCCCATCCCCAGCAAAATTCCCTTCACCCCATGTGTTCTTTTCCCCGATTATCGTCCTCCCCACCTCCCCCTTCTTTTCTTTCTCCCCCTCTCTAATCCACCCCCGTCCTCCTCTTTTTATTCCAAATCCAGGCAGAGATAGTGAGAAACAAAGAATAGCAATGGATTTTCTCAAAAGCTTTATGTTAATCCTTTCTCTTACATTAACTCCCTCTCCCCTTTTATATCCAATCTCAGACCGGAAGACAGATAGAGAAAAGAGAAATATCAGCGGAAAATTATCGAGTTTTGGGTAAAAAATTCCATTTATGGATGCCGATTTCTTCCCTCTTTCCAATTTCACCATTTATGTCCTTTTTTGACATAGCCTGGCCGGCTCACCATAGTATAGGGCGGCCTCCATTGTTTCAAAATCATGGATTCCTATTGATTTTTTCTGAATTCCAAATTAAATTTATTTTTATAGTCTAACCATGAGCATAGTGGTGTTGTGTATTTGATTTAGAAATAAGAGAGAGAAAGAACACTAAAGAAAAGGAAAAAAAAAAGAAAAAAAATAAGGAAATGAATGGAGGTGGGTGAACGGAGAAGAAGAGAGAGGTGTGAACGGAGGGAAATGTCATGTCTTTTTCTCTCTTTCTTTTCTCTTTTTTTAATTTGTAAGTTCTTTTTTGCTTATTTAGTATTTAAGAATAGGACCCACAAATAACACATGTCAAGTAATAAATAGTCTAGTACATGCCGTGTTGTACATATAAGTGCAATCGATATACACGCACTACTGATGTATTTATTTGTACTCATTCCGTCAAGTTCGAGTGTTTAAAAGGAAAAATCCAAAGTTCATGTATCGACTTTAAAATCCGGTACAAGTCTAAGTGGCCAAGAAGCCATTACGGCTTTATAATAAGCTACTTATAAATGGATATAGCCGATAGTTTTGCTTGAAATTGTCATTTTTGTTATGGGAAATTTTTGTTCCTATACCATATAGGAAACTATATTACCAAATATGTTCATAATTTGCATATTACCCTTCATGCTAATAGTATTCTTACAAAATATAGATAATGCATTAAATAAGGAAGCATTGTAGCTGTAGGATTCCTTATTTAGGCGCGCTAAAATTGGGGAATTAAATATTCTTCAAGATCTTCCACAAACGCAGATCACGCACATTCCATAATTATCGTCGGCTTCACTCTGATCTTCCACAACGCAGAACAAGATTTTCCATACTCTGTTTTTGCAATACACTCTGTTTCCAGAACTCTCTCTACATCTCTCTCTATCTCTCAATTCCAAATTTCAGTAATACAAAGCAAATGAAAAGAGAGCAACAATTCCACCATTGACATCCATTAAAAAGCTTGAATGTTTTGAATTCAAATTTGGATTTTCAAAAATCATTATTTGTTTGGATTGGGTGTTGTTGAAAATAATCGGGAATATGGTTTGGAGTTTATATCTCAATTTTGAGGGGTTTTGGTGAAAATTAGACTTGGTTTTGACTGAATTTCAGATTAAAACTCGAAGAAGAAGAAGAAGACATGACATACATTATATTGCAGAAATTGTAGAAAAATTGTAGATAAATTATAGAAAATTTGTAGACTATTGTTTATTTATTTTTCTTTTATTCATTTACCTATTGTATGAAAGTTGAACAACATTGTATAAAAATTGTATTAAAGTGTATGATTTAGTACCGTTTTGGACAAAAATATGTATAAAAAATGTAAAACATACATTTCAGGGGAAGCATGTCGAGTCCAAATATGTACCCAGTTTGTAGATATTTTGTAGATAAATTGTAGATTATTTGTATTCTGATTGTAGATGCTTTATTTTCTGTTTTCACAAATAAAAAATGACTAAAACTTCTACAAATCTTCTGAAAAAAACTCAATTATGTCAAAATTCCCAATTATGCTACAATTGAATGGGAATTGGGATATTAAAATTCAATGTACCCAGTTTGTAGATATTTTATAGATAAATTATAGATTATTTGTATTCTGATTGTAGATGCTTTATTTTCTGTTTTCACAAATCAAAAACGACTAAAACTTCTACAAATCTTCTGCAGAAAACGCAATTATGTCGAAAATCTCAATTATGCTACAATTGAATGGGAATTGGGATATTAAAATTCAATGTACCCAGTTTGTAGATATTTTGTAGATAAATTGTAGATTATTTGTATTCTGATTGTAGATGCTTTGTTTTTTGTTTTCACAAATCAAAAACGACTAAAACTTCTACAAATCTTCTGCAAAAAACGCAATTATGTTGAAAATCCCGATTATGCTACAATTCTATGATTCTCCTATATGCTCTTGTTACTCCTTACGAAACTGCTATGCAAAATATGGAATCCAAAAAAACATGATGAAGGGATAGATCTTCCTAAGAAATTTTGTAGATAATTTGTAGAAACATTGAAATTCTGTATTTTCATATTAATTTTTCAAATGATATGTAATTTTGTTATAGATTAAATGTAGAAAACAAGCCATTGTGAGCCTTATTTGACTCATTCCTCACATTTAACCTATTCTACAAATTCACACCTCTTTAAATACAATACAACCATTGAATTTAAAGGTATAACAATATATATAACTTAAAAAACATCTTCTCCTCTGCACAAGTTAGCTCCAAAACAGACGAAGTGGAATAACAAGCTCCCATCAAAACTTTTAACACAAAAACACAAAGATCAAAAATAAATAAACAACAGTCTACAATTTTTCTACAATTTATCTACAATTTCTGCAATATAATGTATGTCATGTCTTCTTCTTCGATTTTCAATCTAAAATTCAGCCAAAACCAAGTCTAATCTTCACCAAAGCCCCTCAAAATTGAGATATAAACTCCAAACCATATTCTCAATTATTTACAACAACACCCAATCAAAAAACATACCACCTGACATTTGAATGATTTAGTGCCACCGTCTCAGTCACAACTCGTGCAACGTGAATTGCTGATGGGGTTCCACCGCTAAACGTATATTTAAATCTTGATGTGTCCCCAGAAATGCAAATCGGAGGTAAAAAAATCATTTTTTGTAGTATTATTTGTGTAATTGGATGGCATTTTTTCAAGAAAAACACAACCCCTCATTTTTGAACCATCCTTCCACCACATTTTAACTAATTCTTTCCTGGTAGACCATACTTTCTCGTTAGATGCAATACCAAATACAATATGTTCAAGATTTGTGTCTGATAATAATGTTGAATCATTTTGAAGCGAAACTGACTTGTGGAGTAATTTGGTGTAATTACACTGTGGTGATACGTGGGTGAGAGTGTGGGTTTAGGAGAGAGAAACGTAGGTGGCGGGGATATAGAGGAATATACAGTACCATAAATTAAGGAGTGATATAAGCTATAATTAATGTACAATTAAAACATCTTATGATATAGAATTGGTAATTAGATATACTAAATGTAATTATATGTAACCTTAAACATTGAAGGTACCATTAATCAAGTTAGGTCCACACCGATTGAATTTTGGCGGTTCCCTCCATTTGTTTTCTACGGGTCTTCATTACAAATTTGAAAGCACGACTCACACACTACCTACTGCCTCTTTCTCCTGACGCTTCTCCTTCCTCCAATCAATGGCCGGTGCTTCCAACCCCAAAACCCTAAACAAAACCCTTCTTCTTTCACAATCGCAATCCTTACCCTCAGCTCTCGCGGACGATGACGATTTTCAAGATCCATCTCCTTCTCAGCTCCGATTGCCAAAACCCACCTCAGCAATTCCCTCCCGTAAGCCTCTTGCACCTTATAATAATAATAATACTGCCAGTGCTTCTCGACCTTCCAAGAAGCCAAAACAGCATCCACTACACGGAGGCAAGGAGAACATAATTGTTGTTGGAAAGTGTGCTGAGGATTCGGATTCGGGTCATAAATTGGATAGTTCTCGTCCTACCAAGAAGCCAAAACAACAGCCACTAATTTCCGAGAAACAGGAGTCCGATTCTGAGGATTTGGATTTGTGTCATGGATTGGATAGCATAGAATCGACTATAGATGGTTGTTCTAGGACCCAAAGAACGGAGAACGAGGAAGAATTAAAGAAGGGTTACTTGTTTAAGTCGATAGAGGCGAGGTTACTCAATTCGGATGGCGGATTCGAAGAGAGAAAGGAGGGATCGGAGGAGTGCTCTGAGCTTGATTTGCTGCTCAAATTATGTGGCGAGGAGGAGGATGAAGGAGATCGTGTAGAGTGTTTTGGCTTAGAGGACGAATATGGTCTCGTTTGTTGCCCCCTTTGTGGAGCTGATATTTCAGATTTGAGTGGTGACATGCGAGAGGTTCACACTAATGAGTGCCTTGACAATGAGGAGACTCCAGCTCATGTAAGATGCTCTTTGTCTAATCCTCATTTCCTACTGTATGATCTTTGTTACTTAAAGGTATAAAATTTTCATAAAATTTGGGCCTAATTCAACACCTAAAAAAATAAATGTATTTCCATGTCATCGTTTCAGTTGCATTTCCCATTTTTTGTGTCTCTAGTTCAAGTGTCACTGCTGCTGTTATAGTTCATCAGTGACGTTACCAGTCTTTCCTGATTTTTAATGTAGATATGGGAAGTTACATTTGGTTTACCTAAGTTGGAGTTTGTTGATCATCTTGCAGGTGGTTACTGCCAATAATGATGTATCTTTTCAGTGTCCTGGGCAAGTGCTTAATGATTCCCCATGTCAATCTCCTAAAAAGATTGTCCATGTATCACCTGTTGTGGAATGGTTGCGAAATCTTGGACTTGCTAAATATGAAGAAATCTTTGTTCGGGAGGAGATTGATTGGGACGCTTTAAAATCCCTCACGGAAGAGGTTTACTTATTGTTCTTCATTACTAATATCCTTGTGCTCACTATAAAACTAAAAATATCTCTAAAGTCATGGGAACACAGAAGGAAGTATAAGTTTTATGTTTTTGTTGGCTGTTACTGGTGGAGTTCTTTGCTTTGGAAAGTGCTCTTGTGCCCGTGAGGGTGATTACCTCCAGCTTTTTGTACCAAAAAAGAAACAAAGATTACATCCAGCTTTTATGCACAAATGCACCTGTAATCTTTAAGTGGTTATTATTCATGGTTATCTTTAAAGACTCTGTTGTAAGCATAAAGTTTTAAAGACGGAATTAGGCTGGTTAAAATGCTTTAGAGCATATTAAAACTTGAAACAATCTGATGTGTTTATGTCCCTAGGTAATATGTGAAGGGCAATTATTTCTCTAATTGGCCATATGGCACCAAAGGTGGGATATTCAGGGACAGGGTGAGGGCATGGCCTCAAGGATTCTCCTTCGTATGTTTTCCCTTCTACAAAATGGTGCAGCCTTTGCCTCCTTTGAATGCACACCCTCAGACACATGAAAGAAAAATGTATATCATAACCATCAATCTCATTGTTTGTTTCTCATTACAAGTTTTGAACTACAAGATCTTATTTGGAGTTGGCCGTTGGAGGTTCAGAACAAGGCCGGAACAGTGAGAACTGAAAAAAAGAGTAGTCTTGAAGAATCATTTAAAAGATAACTGAAGTGACATTTCTCTGGTTATTATTGTTTGAGTACTGCTGGAGGTTCTCTGTAAATTCTTGTGCCCAAATAGAAATTGCTTTAGGCTCAAGCCAAAAAAGATCATGGTAAACACAAGACTTGAATTTCTTCCCTAGAGGGAAAATACCTGGCAATTTCACATATCCTGTAAATCAAGACCTTTTTCTCTGCCATGTATTCATGGAACATGCTTCTCTTGGTGATTTCTGTGCAAAAGCAATTAGTCAAATTTTCTTTCGTTCAAACTAAATCCATTCCAAGTTGGACTTGTAAAGGGAGGCTTTGCTTAGTTGTGCTTGTTATTTCCACTGTTATCTTATTTATGTGATTTGGTGACCAAACTATTAAAACTGTTTATTACACTTGGTGCTCAAACTACTAAGCTTAACTTGGTACTCCTGTTGGTTGTATTTTCGCCCATTTAATTCCACTATTTCAAGTTCCGTTGCAGGATTTGTTTAGCATTGGCATCACTGCTCTTGGTCCGAGGAAAAAGATTATTAACTCTATTTTGGAGCTAAGAAAGGAAACTGCCAAGGAAAAAGTAGCTCGGCGAGATGTGACAAAAGTTGTACCTGATGATGCCGATACTAAACCAAGCAAGTTGATAACAGATTATTTTATTGGTTCTGTTTCGGAAAGAAAGAGAGTTTGTTCTACTGGAAGGGCACAAACGGAGGTTGGAAGAACTTGTTCAGATGCTTCCCGTAAGAGAATTCAGAAGAAAAATCCAGCCAAGAGTGCAAAATCTAAAGATATTCCTATGTGGTGTTCTGTACCAGGAACACCATTCCGAGTGGTAAATACCCTAAATATAACCTACTTGCATGTACTTTTGTGTCATCCCAGTTCTTGGAAAAATTGCATAATTTACTATTCAACAGCATCTGTTTTACCAAATTTAAGCTGGATGCTGATAATGCACATGTGTTACTGGAAGCTCTCCATAGTATGCACACATTTTTTTGAATTTCATATAATGGAGCTATTTTACTCGTACTCTTCAAAAATGTTGTTGGGTGCGTGTCGGATCCTCCAAATTTAGTGCATTTTTGGAGGATCCGACACGGGTGCAACAACACTTTTGGAGAGTCCGAGCAACATAGTAATGGAGTACAGTGCTGATTCAAAGCAATGCCAATGCGTATTTTATACTGTATTAGTGGCTTAACTAGTAGTCTAGTTGTATAATCTCATCTTATTGGGAATTTGGTTATTGCTAATGAAAATTGTTGCAGTATGTCAATAAAGGACCAGTTTTTTTTACAACTGCTAGGATGTAAATTGCTAAAAGTGTCTTGTTTCCATCATTGCAGGACGCTTTCAAGTACTTGAGAAGAGATTGTTCTCATTGGTTCCTCAGCCACTTCCATTTAGATCGTAAGACCTCTTCTGTTAACCATATTTTCAAATGTTTATAGCTGAACCAACACAAATAGAAACAATGAAAATAGCATCAGCTCGCAAGCCAGTCTCCTTTAACTGTGCTTGTAGGGGCATTTCTAAAAGTGTGTTCACTTTCCTTTAAAGGATAAAAAAAGTTGCGGAACCTTCTTTTGATTCTCTATGATACAACTTCTCTGCAGTCCAAGTACACAAAAGTCCATTTTTTTCTTCCTGCAACAAATGCTCAATAATTAACAATTTCGGCTCTTTTTTTAATAACCGTGTTAAGTCAAACTACAATGAAAATGAGATGGAGGCAATAAGTGGTTTGACTTTGACCCTCTAGTGAGATTTTAGAGTAGAGCTGTCAATATGGGCCGGGCCGGGCTAGCTAGCCCAGCCCATGTGGGCTTTAGCAATCGATGGGCTGGGCTGGGCTGGGCTAGCCCACCATTTGGTGGGCCTCATAATGGTTAGCCCACCCCAATCTTATGTGGGCCGCGGGCCCCCACTGGCCGGCCCATCATTTTTTATAATATAATTTATATTTTTTCTTTAAGTGCTGACGTAGAAAAAGATAAATATTTAAAAGTTAAAACATATCTTATTGGAAAATTTTCGCAAAACTTAATAACTTTTTATACTGTTCCAATATATCACAATAAACACTAAAAAGGTAAAAGATAAGACTATATTTCATTCACTAAAAGTCATAACTCAAAACAAACTATTCGAGAGAACGTCCATGATGCTTATGGTATATCCAACACATCATCTTCATCAAACACTTTCGAATCCGCTTGTGACAAGGTTGTCTTAACATCTTCACTTTCATCTACATCTTCAATTTATATGCAATATTAATTAGTTAAATATTAAGAATAATTAAATTTTAAAAACTAATAATATTCAAATTCACATAAAAAAGAATTACTAGTTTGAGTTTGGGAAAAGCCGTGCAACCAATTTCGAGTAGTAACAAGTGTTTGGATATTTTCATGATGGATGCAACTTCTATACTTGGTAAGAACACACCCACCAATGCTAAATGCTGATTCCGATGCTATAGTATCATATACTTTTTATATTTTATATATTTTAAATAAATACTTTTACTAGGCCCACAGGCCGGCCCAACCTAGCCTCAGTCAAGCCTCATGGGCCACGGGCTTACTCGGGTCAGGCTTAAAAGCCGCATTTTTAAATGGGCTCCAAAAACTCTAGCCAAACCCTACTAAATTACGGGTTGGGCTGGGCTGGCCTAACGGGCCAAGCCCATATTGACGACTCTATTTTAGAGCTTTCACGTATTTACTTGCAGAAGTTTTGAAGTACACTATCAGTCGATTGAGTAATTAGATGTTTAACAATTACAAAGAAGCACATTTACTTTCATGTGCTTGTCATTAAAATGAAGTTGTCAAGGTTGCTTTATCTTCATTTTCGTTTGAGCTTATTCTCCATGATCATGTTATAGGACATGCTGTACTAAATTATTTGCTGGTTTTCCCAATGGTTACCACATATAAATTTATATTTCTTTAGAAATTGGATTACTTTTTTTTTTCTCCTGTTTGAATAGAATTTCCTCTTCTATCTTGAAAGTCAATTGATAACTCTTTGTATCTTTTAGTTGGAAGAGTTATTTCAGGATGTTACATTTGTAATGAGGATATCATCATGTAGATATTATTCAGCGTTAAGTCCTTACTCGATTGATTGCTGGTATGGCATTGATCGAGAACTGTTAGAATGCGTCCTTATATGTGTATATGATAATCTAGTTTGACGCTTATGTGATCAGCAATTAGCTTATCAGTCCAGCTTTTAATTTTGTTGTCCTATATCTCTGTAGATTATCAAGGGCTTACCAAGTCCTTCTGTCATGGAAAAATTTATTGTTCCTCAATTACGGCAAAGCTTGTTAATCTGAAGATTGGAATCCCATGGGACAAGATACAAGTTTTACCCATCAACCAGAAAATCAACATTGAAGGAATTGATGTCATATGCTTTGATGCAAACCATTGCCCGGGTTCCCTAATAATCCTTTTTGAGCCACCCAATGGTAAGGTGTGGTACAAATCGGTTTACCCTATGCTTTTTCTGAGTTCTAGTTTGATTGTTCTTGTGAGGATATCTTGTTTGTTTCATGCAATAGGCTGTCCTGCACACGGGGGATTTTCGATTTTGTGAAGAAATGACAAGGAATTCAATCTTGCAGACTTGTGGTGTCCACACTCTCATCCTAGATACAACATACTGTGACCCTCAGGTATTTTAGATTGATAATATTCATCGTCATGAAGTCAAATAACCTACCAATAGTTACGTGCTTGCTTATGTGGCGGCACTTCCTATTTTGTACTGATCCATAATGTTCCACTCTCCTACAAATAGTAATATCACATAAAACTTTCACATATTTCTAAAATTTATATTCATTATAAATTCAATTCTTGCAGGAATGCGATATTTTAACTATTTCTTATGTTATAATTATGAATATAATACACAGGCCATGGTGGCAATTGACTTGAGCCTTGGGGTTTGCTCCCTTTCAAGGTCTCAAGTTCGAAACCCACTGGGTGCAAACAATTCCTGAGGGCCATCGGACTGGGTAAAACCTGAATTAACCGTGGTGCACTTGCGGGAAACTCCTTGCCGAGGGCCTGTGCACCCCCGGGATTAGTCGGGGCTCTTAGAGACTCGGACACCCGATGCAAATCAAAAAAAAAATAAAATATAATACACAGGCCAAACCAAATTTGAACTTAAAGCCTAGTCGATCTTGGTTGCTTAAAATGGGACAAAAGGGAGTAGCAATTATTAGTATTATCATGCTAAATATGACAAAGATAAAATGGATATATGGTAGTTATAGGAACTAGGAAGTTACTACTAACTTGTAGAATATCAAGTATTTGAATGCCAAATATATCGATATTATGGTATTTAGTAGTTAATAGTTCTAACACATGCTGCTTTTTTGGGTGTGTCCTGGCTATCAGTTAAGGTACACGTATTTAAGTAAACACGGTACAAGCTCTATTTTCTCTGGACCAATGAGCAGAAAACAGTCATATTAACAAATATCCCCTTGAATATTGGGTACTCTTTCTGTATGGCTTGAGAAGCAGATACTGCGAAACTCTTGTTTATACAGTTGGATACATTTCAGTGTATTATCAGCATGTTTCCTTAAATACTTCAAATGCTCTAAGAGTTTGCTCGCCTTGCAGTATGACTTTCCAAAACAGGAGGCTGTTATTCAATTTGTTATTGAATCAATACAAGCTGAAACTTTCAACTCGAAGACCTTGTTTCTCATTGGTAGCTATACTATAGGTAGATTTCATGTCTGAGTTTTTACATTGCTCGGTAATATTATGACCAAAAGCTCAAAAGCTACCTAGTATCTTATGTCTAATGCTTTCATCTGAAGGCTTTTTCTCATGGTTTCTGCACTAATTGGTTCAGGAAAAGAGAGGTTGTTTGTTGAGGTTGCTCGTGCTCTACAGAAGAAAGTCTATATCACTGCATCAAAGTTACGCATTTTGCAGTGTCTGGGTTTTCCTCGAGAAGATATGCAGTTTTTCACATTAAATGAGCAGGAAAGCCAAATTCATGTTGTGCCTATGTGGACACTGGCTAGCTTCAAAAGATTGAAGTATGTTTCCAACCAGTATGCGGTAAGTTTTTTGATGTCCAAGTGTTTTGTGATGATTCCAAATTCTGATGCAGCCCCAATCTGATGCTTTAAGTATCTTGAAGATGGGAAAAAAGCTGGTTTTGATCTTTTCAAATAGTAATAGTGCTTATATTTAGGTGGAGTGAGTATATGATATTAATAAAAATAGATAAATGACTTTGTATGATTATTATGCCTGCAAGCTGTGCGATTCCATCTTTGATCAGTTCAATAATTGGCTAAATTTGTTTGGATAATACTGAACTTTTGCAATCCCAATAGTGCCAGTCGAGCTACAATTGGTGGAGAGATAAAAGATAGTAGTACATAAACTTTCAACAAAAAAGAATTTGTATTCAATTGAATAATTCTCTACTAACAATCAAACATACAAGTTAAATGGTATAACACCTGCAACCCTAACCAAAAAAAAAATGGAAAAGAAAATAAATAAATGAAGAATTACAAATTTTGATTTGGTGCCTTTAACTCACAAAATGAGATCCCTTAGAATTATGCTTTATGCTGAGGAAGGACCTCCGGGAAACATGTTGAACATGAAAGATGAAGACTTAATAGTATGGAGGAGGTGGTGATGAGGAAGGAATTGAGGATGATTGATAATAGTAAGGAGGTGGTGGTGATGGTGAAGGAGGAGGGGCTGAATTATAGTAGTAAGGTGGAGGAGGAGAAGATGATGGTTTCTTGTAGTTGTCATTCTTTGGCAAAGACGATACCTTGTATTCCTGTTTAGGCATTGAGGTTACCTTATAGTAGTTATCTTTTGGAAGAGATGACACCTTCTTGTCGTTATCTTTTGGAACTGATGGTTTCTTGTAGTAGTCATTCTTTGGCAAAGTTGGCGCCTTGTATTCCTGTTTAGGCATTGAGGGTACCTTGTAGTAGTTATCTTTTGGAATTGATGGTTTTTTGTAGTAGTCATTCTCTGGCAAAGACAGCGCCTTGTATTCCTGTTTAGGTATTGAGGGTACCTTGTATTAGTTATCATTTGGAAAAGACGGCACCTTCTTGTAGTTATCTTTTGGAATTGATGGTTTCTTGTAGTAGTCATTCTTTGGCAAAGATGGCACCTGGTATTCCTGTTTAGGCATTGAGGGTATCTTGTAGTAGTTATCTTTTGGAAGAGATGGCACCTTCTTGTAGTTATATTTTGGAACTGATGGTTTCTTGTAGTAGTTATTCTTTGGCAAAGATGGCGCCTTGTATTCCTGTTTAGGCATTGAGGGTACCTTGTAGTAGTTACCTTTTGGAAGAGATGGCACCTTCTTATAGTTAGTTTTTGGAACGGATGGTTTCTTGTAGTAGTCATTCTTGGTAAAAGATGGCACATTGTATTCCTGTTTAGGTATTGAGGGTGTCTTGTAGTAGTTATCATTCGGAAGAGATGGCACCTTCTTGTAGTTATCTTTTGGAACTGATGGTTTGTTGTAGAAGCCATTATTTGGCAAAGATGGCACCTTGTATTCCTGCTTAGGCATTGAGGGTACTGTGTAGTGGTTCTTGGATGCTTGTGGCACTTCATAATTGTCTTGTGACAGTGGCTGGATATGATAGTTGTCACTTTTGGTTACTGTGCTTGGTACTTTGTTGTATGTTGAAACTGGTGATTTATAAGAATCAGATGAATATGCCATAGTGCAAGTTGCAATCAAGAAAAATGCCAAAGCAGAAGCAAATTGAGGCAATTGCTTCTTTATTTGGCTCCCCATTGAGAATAATTGGATTCTAAGGCCGACTGGATTGATTTTTTTTTTTTTTTTGGGTGTATTTGAGAATGGAGTAACTACGAGTTTATATAGCCGAAACTAAGAAGGTGACTTGGTGATTTGGATGCTTAAACTAATCCAAATTCATATGAGATTTTGCCATGTTTTGGTTAATGCTGTTCCACTAACGTCTTGAGATAATGGAGAGCCATGATCAAATCACAACTTTGCTTGACTCACTTACATTAAAAAAATTAAAATCCAGAATTTTATTGACTTTCAAGAAAATGGTTGCATGTCTACATGCATTTCTAAACTAGTGGCAATAAAGGAAAATAGAGAAACTGTTTTGCTTTTCCATGTTTTCTAAGCTTATTCATTTCACTTTATTCAAGTTAAGACTTTTATACCTTACACCTCTTTGGCGCTTATTTTTGTTATTATTGAAAAGTTTATACAAGCTCAGAAAATCTATCAAAGCTGGAATACCAATTCCTTACTACATTTTGGGTAAATTTTTTGCAAATGTTTGTTTGATTCACTTAACAAGTCCTAAAGGGACAAGCGATAACAAAAAATGTTGAAGCAACTTAATTATCAGTTTTGAGGAAGTCCAATATTGTATTACTTAAATCATTCATTTGCTTTCGCATACTCATGTCTAATAGGTGTGAAATGGATATAAGTATTTTATGTGAAATCAGCAAATTAAATGCTGAAAGTTGATAAAAACTACGTGTATCTATATCATACAGTTGTACACACAAGTATTGAACATGTATCCACGCAGGCACGAAGCTAGAGCATTAGATACTGGTTCGGACGAACCCAACAACTTTTGCTTAGACCATGTATTTGTATTAGAAAATTCATTAAATATGTATAAATATGCAATTGTGAACCCAGTAATTAAGATGACCTACATGTTCAATGATAAGTTCAAACCCATAAACTTCAAACCCTGGCTCCGTCTATGCTCATAAGTTGTCTTTTTCAGTTCAACGTGCTCTTTGTACTAGACCACAAATATGCCAGGTTCGTTGACATCAATTAGGTGCTTTCTCGGTGTTGTTGGCTTTCTCTGCAAGACCCAAGAGAGCTATCTAGTCAAATGTTTGCACAAAATTCTAGAGCTAAATTCTTTCATGGTACACCTCTATTGGTCTTGATCGCACTCATTCAAACCCTTTAGCCATTCTCTAAGTTTTTTCAGTATTTGTGTTTAACTTCGTCTCCTCATTCCTATATGCCATCATCCCATGCACCTAAAAAGGGCAGCCCGGTGCGCGAAGCATCCCGCATTCACACAGGAATAACGAATCATCCCATGCACCTAAGAATACTATATTTTTCTCTTTATAGTTGCTTACTTTGTTTTAATTAATATGATTCTCCATTTTGGGCCGTTTCAAAATGTTTGACACCATTCTATTAAATTATACACACTTAAACTTTGATGTGCTGTTTGCTCTCTTTTCAACCACTATGTTAATATTCTCTTTCCTCATCATTGACAAAATTGTGGAAGTCGATTAAAATTGCAGACACTGTGACATAAAATAAATAGGAGGAAGTATAAGTTATTGCTTTAGCATTACTCTTGGATGTCTTTCGTCTTTCTTTTACTTAGAACGCTAAGCAATAGTAAAGATGGACTACTTCTTGTTAAACTTTTTGTGTACTTGTGTCATTTTTCTACCAAAACTGAAATTTTCCCGGCTGCTTCTTAAATCTACACTAGCTTTGTCATTGACCTCAGGAAATAAAGTGTTTTTTACTAAAGCCTTTGGTACTTACGATGTGCCTTATCCATTACATTTTACTGAGAACTCTCCAACCAATAGGTTTCTGCACCACCATATACAGAAACTATGGCTCGATGATTTTAACTTGTTAAGTGTTTGCTTTTATGTATTGATCCAAATTTGAGTGGTGATGTAACAGTTTGTTACTTCTCCAGGGACGGTACAGTCTTATTGTTGCTTTCTCTCCAACTGGTTGGTCATTTGGTAAAGGAAAGAAGAAGTCAACTGGAAGCAGGTGGCAGCAGGGTACTATCATCAGGTCATTGTCTAAACTTTGTGTATGAGTCTTAACTAGCTACATATGTAATTATAATTGAATCAAGTTACTAGATCAATGGATGGCATTTAATTCCCGAACCAACATGTGTTTGTTCTGATTAGCATGTGTTAAACACAATAGATTGATGAGAACATATTTGTTTTGCTCTCAGGTATGAAGTACCATATAGCGAACACAGCAGCTTTTCAGAACTCAAAGAGTTCGTTAAGTTTGTATCTCCTGTTAACATCATCCCTAGTGTAAATAATCATGGACCTGAATCCAGCAATGCAATGGTCTCGTGCCTCTTGGACTGATCAATATAGTTTTCCAAGATGTTATACCATTTTCTGGACGGTCCATTGTAGCTTGGACAATGTAATTGCTGATGTTTTGTTCCAAAGCATGTGTATTCTTTACATGATGCAATAATAATTAGTGTATTTAGTTCAAAGGTGTACGGAAACGCAAAAGAACACGAGAAGATAAAGCAAGAGCAATTACCTCCAACTCCTCTTTCAGGCTCTCAAGCTGAAATTTTTGCATTACACATAAATCTCATATCAAGCATCTGTCTCTGGGAGTTGTATCTTGAAGAGCATCACAAAGTTACACATCAGAGCAGGCATGCAGCAATCCCTTACCTTATGTTGGAAATTCCTCTGCCATTCTGAAATAGCCATAGCTAACTAAGTAGGAGAACATGTAACCAAAGCCTAACATTATTTTTGATTTTGTCTCATTGTTAATTTATCTCATTCTTCCTATCCTTTATTCTTTTTCCATCATCTTCATGTGTGTTTTTGTGTGTTGTCCGGGTTTCCTTTAATCTCATGATTTATGTTCTATCACAACCTGTAGCCGCTGTTTGTTTCCCACTTATAATGGCGTGTTCATAGATAATTAGTTGTGTTTAGGTGAAGTTTTAGCTAATGGGCATCCTTTATGTTAGACTGCCCAATAATTTTTTCCAACAATATCTATAACTGCATCTCGTGAATTGGAGTATTAAGATCATCCATCTCAGAACATAATAATACTATACAGCGGCTCATACTATTATATCTGTTTTGGGTAACTCTTCCAACCATATTCATTAAGTGAAGGCAGGTGGCAGGTCAACGGTACAATAGTCGTCTCAACTTGCATTACATACCTCTCTTTGCTCAACCATATGACTATTGCTGATATATCCTTTTCCAAGTTGGATTTTCAACTGCATTCAGTTTTGCTGTGAAATTATGATTTGCAAACATTCAAAGTCAAAGGGCTTATGCTATGTATTCATCAACTAGTTTATTTTTTTTTATTCATTTTATCCATCATCTGCTCCGGCATGCATTTATATTTCGAACAGTAAAATAAAAAGAGGGGCCAGTATTCTAACCCCACACTCTAATTTAAACTTAGGAAGTTAGGCATGATAGAGGTTGAAAAGACAGCAATATTGATTATCAGCTACAACCTAAATGCCCACAATTTGTTCTTTTTCTTGTTTTTAGCTGCTAAAGCTAAAGGAGGCAACGGAGGTTACCAATGTTTTAAAAGGCGGGGGCGAGAGGCGAGGCGTTTTACCTTTGACGAGGCGAGGCGTAAGCCCTGAGACATGGGGCGTAAGTCCCACGGATCTTTAAATTTTACTAATTTCAAGAATTTTAAGATAGCACACAATAAAAAATAATTATGAAAATTACATCGAAATCACAAAATTATAACAAATAATCTATTTAAAATATTTATAAATTATATTCGACTATGAATAATACGAAAAGTATGACATATATCGTAATATTCAAATTAGTTGCAACGTCGTTACAACTCATACATCAAAAGTAATGTATTCGATGTGAAATCTTATATGTATCTCTTAACAAGTAATAAATCTTGAAAGGATTTCAATATTATAATTTGATATTTTACTTAAAATACTCCTTTTATTTAATATGATTTCTATTTGAAAGAGAATTTATGTAAAAACATAATTCACAATTTAAATATGATTCTCTAGCATCATTTATTTTTAAGTTTTAACAAGTTAATAAACTGACATATATTCATCATACAATATCATTATAACTAATTATTCTTATAAAAAAAATCATGATAACTAATTATTTGTAAATAGTTACTAGCTAATATTGAGATATTAAATTAATAAGTATTGTATCTTGTAAACATGAAAAAATAATATTGAGAAAAATAATTATAAAAAAGTTATGGACTATTATATAGTAAAGAGATAACAAAAGTTAATAAATAAATACTTTCGAAAAGAGAGATTTATTTAAAATTTACTATCATAGCAGTCTTAGTGGATAACGTGCAATAATTTTTATTTTAATTATGACATAAAATACTCTCAACTTAATGATTTATGATTAAGAAAAAAGTAATTTTAAATAGTCAACGATTTGGTAAGAAAATTTGAGGATTTACAAGTTTAGTTACATACAATTGCATAAAGTTCTATTAGACCTGTCACGACCCGGATTTCCCACCATCGGGATCGGATGGTGCCTACTCGTGGTAGCTAGGCAAGCCAACTTATTTACCTTTCATTAATAAATAAATCTGTTAACAATCTTTAGCATCTATAAGAAATATGGAATTTTAATAATTAAACAATAGCGGAAGTCTAATTTATAGTCTGAATCAAAATACGGAATAGTCAACAATAGCTCTACCCAAGATTTGGTGTCACATTACTCACGAACCACTAAGAATAAACTAAATACAAAGGTCTGAAAGAAATATAACAGCTGTCTGTCTCGAAACAAGGAGGCAACAGTCTAAAAGAAAACAATGAGAAGAGACGCCGGGCCTGCGGACGCCTGCAAGGCTACCTCAGTCTCGTGAATATGAATCGCCTACTTCCGAACTACTGCTGCTGCTGTTCCTCAAAACCTGGACCTGTGCAAAAATGCACAGAAGCGTAGCATCAGCACAACCGACCCCATGTGCTGGTAAGTGTCTAGTCTAACCCCGGCGAAGTAGTGATGAGGCTAGACCGGACACCACGTAAACCTGTGCAGTTATAAATATACCACGGAATCGAATACAAAGCAATTAACAACATGGGAGGGGAGACATGCTAAGGGGAGATACAATATTAACAACAATCCAGAGTAACAACTAAAAACAGCTTAGGTTCACAATGAATAAAGAATCAATACTCAAATACAAACACATAACCTCAATAATTGTTGCGGCGTGCAACCCGCTCCATAATTACTATTGTTGCGGCGTGCAACCCGCTCCACAAATACCACTGTTGCGGCGTGCAACCCGACCCATATCATTTATCATGTATCATTGTTGCGGCGCGCAATCCGATCCTCACCATTTTACTGTTGCGGCGTGCAACCCGATCCTCAATATCATTGTGCGGCGCGCAACCCGATCCTCAATATCATTGTACAGTCCGACTCCCCAGACAACAGTCACAATCAAGGGGCACCAAATAAGCAAATATTTGACAAACATCCCGGCGAGGGAAAGAATTCAACAAGTTCAACCAAACATCCCGGCAAGGGAATAATCAACAACGCTTTCTCTTTCTTACTTTCCTTATCTTTTAATTCACTTTACTATTTTGAGCCAACGCTCCAAAGAATCAAGTCATTTAGTATACTTTCAATATTCGTATCACAATTCGAGCCAATGCTCCCAGGTATCAAGTGATCATATTACCGTTCACATATTATTCACAACAAATAGAAATCCTCCAATAAACACGGAGTTCACAACCAAGTCACGATAATTACATTATAAAGACTCACGGTCATGCTAGACACCAATGTATAGATACTCGTCACCATGCCTATACATCGTACTCGATCACATAGCAATTAGCAACAAGAATCAACTCCTATTCCCTCAAGCTAGGGTTAAACCAAACACTTACCTCGGTCCCAAGAATAGCAATCAACCTTCAAAGACCGCCTTTCCTCTACAATCCGACTCCGAAACAGTGATATCTAGGCATCGATTAATTCAATAATATCAATAAAGACTCAATGGCAACATCCCATAGCCTAGATATGAATTTTCTAGCATTCTTCCAAAAATACCAAAATTAGACACCGGGCCCACATGGTCCAAACTCGAGGCTCGGACCAAAACCCGATCATCCATAACCCCACGAATCCAAATATATAATTTATTTGAAGATTCGACCCCAAAGTTAGGTTGAATCACCCAAAATTCTCAAAACCCTACTCTGCCCAAAACCCTTAATTTCTACTTTGCTTTCATGATTTAGGGCTAGGAAATTAGTAATTAGATGAAGAAATAATGAGGGAATGATGTTAAGATTACTTACCCAAAGAGTTATGGAGGAAGGAGAGCTTGAATTTCGTCTATGGAGGGTTTAAGAGGAGAGCTCGTGTGAAAAGAATGAAGGAATCCCGTCACTGGTTCTGTTTTTTTAGGCTTTAAAATAACTGGGCGTTTTTGCCCTACGCGATCGCGGATAAAGGGATGCGATCGCGAAGGGTTACACAGAATAGGCAACGCGATCGCGTGGGTTGTAATGCGATCGCGTAGGGGAATACTGGGGGGTCCAAAACATGGTCTATGCGATCGCAACCCTACTGATGCGAACGCATTGAAGGAAGTGCTGAGGCAGTGCGATCGCGTGATCAAGTACGCGAACGCGGAAGAGCAAAGAGCCAAAGGAACGCGATCGCGGACGGAAGATTGCGATCGCGTAAGAGGAAATCACTGAGCAAAAATTGCAGAAAAATCTGCTACCATTCTAAGTGCAAAAACACCCCGAACCACCTCCAATTCACTCCCGAGCCCTCGGGGCTCCTAACCAATCACACACACTAACTCAATAACATCCTACGAACTTACTCAAGCGATCAAATTGCCAAAATAACATCAAAATCATTGAATCAAGCCTCAAACTCATCATTTCTATTTCAAACTTCATAAACTTCCAACTTTAGATAATTAGGTCCGAAACACGTCAAACGACGTCCGATTTCGACCAAACTTCACAGAAAGCGCTTAAACAATATATAAGACTTGTGCCGGGCGTCAGAACCAAAATACGAGCCCGATACCACAGTCTTTTAATAAATTTTCATTTCCATTTTCCTTATTAATTTCAGAAAAACAATTTCATAGAAAAATTTATTTCTCGGGCTCTAGACCTCGAAATTCGACTCCGGGCACATGCCCGAGTCCCATATTTTTCTACGGACCTTCCGGGACCGTCCAATCTCGGGTCCGGGTCCGTTTTCCAAAAATGTTGACCAAAGTCAACTGTAATCATATTAATTGTCAAAATTCTTCAAATTTTTTACAGAATTCACATATTTCAACATAAAAGCTTTCCGGCTATGCGCCCGGACTGCGCACGCAAATCGAGGCAAGTAAAAATGAGGTTTTCAAGGCCTCGGAAGCACTAAACGGATGAGGAAACAGGTGATGACCCCTTTGGGCCGTCACATCCTCCACCTCTAAAACAACCGTTCGTCCTCGAACGGACAAAAGAAAGAAGTACCTGAGTCAGGGAATAGATGTGGATAACGGCTCCACATGTCAGACTCGGACTCCCAGGTCGAGGCCTCAGGGGGCTGACCTCTCCACTGAACAAGAACAGAAGGAAAACTCTTCGACCTTAGCTGTCGAACCTGCCGGCCTAGAATAGCTACCGGCTCCTCCTCATATGACAGATCCTTGTCCAACTGGACCGTGCTGAAGTCTAATACATGGGTAGGATCGCCGTGATACCTCCGAAGCATAGACACATGAAAAACTGGATGCACGGCTGA